GGAGGGGCCGGGCGCCCGCGGGAGGGACGGGGGACTCTGTCTGTCTGCTGGTCTTACGGTTGTCTGAGTAATTAGCACCTAAGTGATAATAGCGCTTAAATGGAGCAGTTAAATGATTATCGTAAATCCGTCCTGATCATAATTGGAAAGGATTTCAGTGTGAGGGGAGTGCATCAGTATAAAAACGGGGAAAGGAAGGAAGTCTGTCATGAACTAAAATTGCCGGCTGCTTGAGAGGAAGGAGCCATCTTCCCCATGGCTTTGGCGGCTTGCGTGTTTGCTTCTCATGTGAAGTGTCCGCGTTTCAAACACCCTTTGCAGCTTCACCTCTGCACTGTGCTGCTGCTCCCGGGGCCCTGCTGAGGCGTTTGGTGTCGTACCCAGTGACACCAAAGACGAGTGCCCCGGCCAGCGCAGTGCAGACCTGCAGCGGGCGGTCCTGGGTGCCTTGGTCAGTGCTGCGGTGGTTTCTGTGGTGGGACGGGCTTGGAAGAAAGGCAGCAACCCGATACCAGTGTGTACAGAGACCTTCTTGTGCAGGTGCACGGGCTGTCCTTCCCTCCTCCCCACCCAGAAAGGCTTCATGGTTACGTAGGAAGGCAAACACAGCGGATATCTGTTATCAGGAAGCGATTTGAATGCTGTTTGGGTTGCAGATTTGTCGCATCTTTGATATATTTATCAAAGCCTGGACCTAGCTTATTTGGTATTTCATTACTTTAAGAGTTCAGGTGTACGTACAAAATTATTATTTAGCTTTAGATACATATCTTGCAAAAATATTGGGGAAAAAGTTTCGTGTTAGCCGAGGTTCTCTTCTTGAACCTTTAATAGACAGAGATCAGACTGGCGCCCGGCCAAGGGTGCTGTTATGAAGACAAGATGAGGGAAAACAATTTTGAACAAAAAGGCAACCAAAGTCAGCGCCCAGGCGTCTCCACAGCATTCAGTTGCTTAGTGATTTAGTGCAACTGCGGGTTTTAATTGTCTGCAACATGTACATACTGGTTTGTGCTTCATTTTAAGAAAATGTAAGTAAGTGGATGGTGCTGAGGGCAACCATAAAATTCAGGGAGAATTATTTCAGGCCTAAGAGTGCCCTCGTATAGTCTCTTGCACTGAAAAGATAGAGGCCAATGAAAACAAAAAAGAACTTGACATAGATTTTGACAAATGAAGGAAAGGAAAAAATCCTAACCACAAAGAGGAAGCTCACTGCTGCTTGATTTTTCTGGGTAAATCTAGCATAAAATAATGGTATAGAAAGGAAAGTATCGTGTGGCTCAGCACACACTTCTAGACAATCACCTTTCTTTCTCTTTTGCAGGGGGCTTTTTTTCCACCATCTTTTCCAGTCTGTTTGGAACTCGAGAGATGAGGATTCTCATCCTGGGGCTGGATGGAGCAGGAAAAACAACCATTCTGTACAGACTGCAAGTTGGGGAAGTTGTCACTACCATTCCGAGTAAGCGATCAGTCGGTTATTAAAAGCAGCTGATTTGACTGTGGTTCTGATCCGCGGGTTCTCAGTAGAACTCACTGTGTGGTGGTTTCACAGAGCAAAGGGCCCTGTGTTTCTGGCACCCTTTGCTCTTGTCTTTAAGGACTTCACAGAATCACAGAATGGTTGAGGTTGGAAAGGACCTCTGGAGATCATCTAGTCCAATCCCCCTGCTCTAGCAGGGACACCCAGAGCACGTGGCACAGGGTGGCATCCAGGCGGGGGTTGAAGATCTCCAGAGGAGCCTCCACAGCCTCTCTGGGCAGCCTGTTCCAGGGCTCTGTCACCCTCAAGTAAAGAAGTTCTTCCTCACATGGAGATGGAACATCTTGTGTTTCTATTTGTATTCCATTACCCCTTGTCCTGTCACTGCTGTGACTGTCACTTCCTTGCATAACAGTGCTACAGCAGCAGTGCAGGAAGCAGTATTTTATGCTGCCCTGTTGAACACCGAGTATTTGACCTTAAGTTTGCTCCCACAATTTGCTAGGTTTCTGTTGAGAGGTGAATATTCAATAAATGGTAACTACTGACGTCGTCTTTGTCTGCAAACGTAGCTCTGATGTGAATTTGGGAGGTCCTTATCGAACCCCATTTCACATCTCCTTAAGTTCTTGTTTTTGGCAAGGAAATAGTGATTCTGCGTGTCTTAAGCTTGGTATGTAGACACTTTTTATATCAGGCTAAACAGGTCACGCACTATACATCAGTGTATTACAAACGCCACGTGCATGTACCAGAGGGATCTTGCTAGAATCACCTGGTGCAACCCACAGGATGGGGAATTGTGGCTGTCAAGCCCTTGTCATGTCTTTGAGGTTCCCTCCAGTATTTGCTGCTTCGTTTTGTGCCGCTGCGAGTTGACAGGAATGTGAGATGTTCCATATTCTGCTGCCACCTTCCATGTGCTGACTGCCGAGGTGTCTGCTGCGGCCTTAGGAGAGGGCAGTTTTTCTGCTCTCAACGTGAAGAAATGTCCCCAAGGACTTACTCCTGTCCCCTACATACTTGCTTGTTAAAATGGGCATTTCTTTTACCTGTATTTCTGTTTCTTTTGGTGCTTTCACACACCTATCTGGTCGTACTTCTTTTGTAACCACCTTTGTATTTGTTGCAGATCTCTATGGTATGTTTTTAAAAATGCTTTTATTGTGCACATGGCAATGCGTTATTCAAAGCTTGTTGAGGTAACTTGCTTCACTTTTTCAGCAATTGGCTTCAATGTTGAGACAGTGACATACAAGAATCTGAAATTTCAAGTTTGGGACTTGGGAGGACAGACAAGTATAAGGTAATAATGATTGCTTAAAATGAAAACTTGTAATTATATTTCTCTAAAAAACCCTGAGGTCTTGAAATTCTTAATATCTGGCCCTTCTGCAAATTGGTTCTCTAAATTTTAATATGTCAGAACTCAGTTAATGCAGCCTCTGTTTTGGACTATGTGGTTGGGGGCGGGGGGGAACCAAAAAGACCAAGTGAACTTTTTCACTGGTGAACAATTTTGTTTTAAAAACATCAGGTTGGGTAGTTTGTAATTAATTGGGCAGCATCCTGAGAAGTCATTAAGTCAGTGATATAACCTCCCCTCCCCCCCAAACTTTAAATATTGACGTTTTAAGGAATGCTATGATAAAATATAAAAGGTATAGATAACAATTCTCGAGTAGTGAACTGTACAGCTTTTGTAGTGAGTGATTACTTGAATAATTTTCATGTTCTCTTTTGGACCCTTTTATGGTCTTCTCAAGATTCCTTTTTGATCACTAGTTGGTTAAGGACAGTGCCACTTTCCCTCCCTTTTTAGCCTCAGTAAAGTAACTCTGAGAAAGAGATGTTTTGTTATGATCTTTGTTGACCTACTTGTACAAATCAGTCATATAAAAGATTTCTTTTTTAGCCTCCCTAGTGAATGCCCTAATTGCCATAATGATAACTCTGGCAAATGATAATTTTAATACACTTGTTTGTTTTATCAAAGCTAATATAACTCTTTGCAAAAAGCTTGTGTTTATGAACTTGCTTTGCTGCCCTCTCCTGCAGAGGTCTTGAGCTGATACCCTGCAAACAATTCCTCAAATAAATCTGTCCCCAGCAGCTCTGCCCCTTTCCTGTTCTCAAGGCTGATCTTTTTCTGCTTTTGTGACGCTGTATTCATACTGTCTGTTCCTTTTGTCACCTTCTGTATACCTCTGGTTTCTCCCTTGGACCTTTCACCCCGTAGTCAGTTTCTGCATTCTCTGAGTAATTTGTTTCTCATTATCTGTCTTAACTACAGCTTGAACAGCTTTTTTTTATTATTATTATTTTATTTTTTTATTTTTATTTGAGCTAAATTATTATTTTTCTCCTGCAGGCCCTATTGGCGGTGTTACTATTCAAATACAGATGCAGTGATCTATGTGGTAGACAGCTGTGATCGAGACAGAATTGGCATTTCCAAATCAGAACTTGTTGCAATGTTGGAGGTAAGAAAACAAGATGATGTCTGTAACTGTGAAATAGAAATTGAAAAATTACAAACCTTTTCTGGAGCTAGTGTATGAAACTTGGATTTTTTTCAGTCCCCAGCATATGCAACCCGTCCGACTGAGAAGCACCAAATACACTGCAGATTTTTAAAGTTTTATCTATTATCTGGTCTGTTAGTTATATTCAGCCTTCTGGTCACATGAAAATTTCCCTGTTTGCTACAACCACTTACTACTTCAGGGAGGGGTGTCCTGCTACTATATATTAAAACCTAAAGAACATATGCAGAAAAGTAACATGAGTAAGAGGGAGAAGGCAAAAGTTAAAGAAGTGAAATGTTTATCCCCAACTTCTTGCAAACTTTTTGATATGCCTTGTTAGATTATCAGCTTAATTCTATAACAATACTCAGTAAACCAGCTTTGTTTTGAAATTGTTTCTGTGTGATACAAGACACAGATAGAATTGAGAATCTGTCACTCTTTCTCTGAAGAATCTTTTTTTCTAAGGGAGAAAAAAAAGGAAAGAAATCAGCAGACTGAATTTAGATGAGTTCTCCTTGTATGGGATTTTTCTCTGCATAAGTAAATTCTGTAAAAACCTCCCCAACAACTTGTATGATTTCCCCCGTAGGAAGAAGAGCTGAAGAAAGCCATTCTGGTGGTGTTTGCTAACAAGCAGGACATGGAGCAGGCCATGACTCCCACGGAAATGGCCAACGCGCTGGGCTTGCCGGCGCTGAAGGACCGCAAGTGGCAGATATTCAAAACCTCGGCGACGAAAGGCACCGGCCTCGACGAGGCCATGGAGTGGTAAGGAAGGGCCCCAGCTCCGTGGGCACCGAGGGAGGACAAAAGGCCGAGCAGGAGCGGAAGCTCCAGCGAGGCTGAGGTAGGCCAGGTTCATGCCCACTGCACCTGTCTTGGTCCATGATGCTCTGGGTAGTAACCCTAACAGACTAAAGCAGAATCAGAGAGAGACTATTTTGCCACAGATAAAATGCACTGAAGAAGTCTGAGCATATTTGAAGTGCTTTTTCAAGTAAATTGTCTTTCTCCTAGGTTGGTGGAAACCCTGAAGAGCAGGCAGTAACACAACGGTGATGAGGGCAGTGGAGCTTTGACTATACCCAGCACCCTTCTTTCTGCAGTCAAGTATTTTCAGGCCAGAAATACTTGTAAATAGAACAGATTGAAAATGACTCCTGTGAAGCATATGTCTGTCTTCAGTTGTAAAATGGAACCAAGTGAATGTCTGTGTACATTAAGATACTCCATTTCTTTCTTTGTGTTTTTAAGTATGTTCTTGTGTTAATTTGTATTAAAGTCCTATGGGGTGGGAAAGGGTTTTTTTTTTTTTCCCCTCCCTCCTTTGGTGGGTTTGTGTAGCTACTTGTTCATGTAATTAAAACACTAATAAAATTCGGAACTGTCACCTGCCCAGCCCTATTTCTGCGGTTCACAGTGAAGTTACTCTCAGGTGCGATACGTGGTAGAGGCTGCTTATAGAAAGCGGCTGGAGTCCTACTCCTAATCTGCAAACTCAGGCTCTGCTTCCACGGCTGTTACTTCTCTACTAAAAGCTTTTCCAGAAGTGACAGGTAATTTACTCCCACCAGCTCCAGGGAGGGAGGCAGGCTCTTCTTTCCAGGAGTGAGGATGTTCATAAGCAGGCAGGCATCTCATCATCCCCACTTTCAAAAACAAATGCCTAATCTTTTAAAAAACTGTGGTGGTCGTCCATGCAGCTGTGTGTATACACAGTAAATATACAAGGCTTAGAAAAGAAAACCTGACAAGCTTTTATTTAAGATCTCAGCTGGAAAAAAAGGACATGAAAAAATAAATACATTAAAATATGTAAATAATTTCTTTTCAACAATCATTAGTTCTCATGCTGGAAGTTCCTTTTCATAAAATTATTCTTGAGAAGGTGAAAGCCTTTTTATTCCACCATTGCTAAATCTTTCAGTCCATGACTTCTAGCTTTCTTAGCCTTGTAGCTAGGGCGCAGGAATTCTATTTTTCTCTTCTTGGTTTCTGCTTTATTCTTATGTCTCTTCAGCTTCCTTCTTGCAGCAATGTCAGGATTTGCTACAGCCTAATGAGAAACAACATAGTTGTAGGTTTAGTTAGAATGTACAACTGTCCCCATCAACACCAAACACGTCCTTAGAAATCAATGACCTTCTGATAGAAAAAGCGTTCATTTTCTTGAGCTCTCTAAGGCCCCAGGTTTGGGAGCCCAGCTTTAACCACGGCTCTTGTTGGGTTTCTGAACTGAAACTATCCCAATTCAGGAGGAAGATGTTCCTCAAACTCCCCTTCCTGGTGATCTGTGAAACATTTCAGTATACACATATATATTTACCTGCAAAGCCCTTTGCTTTTTCCTGACAGCTCTTTTCTGATTGGCCTGTTTCTGCACAGAAGAAAAGGCAACGGAAAAGGCTTCCAGTCCAACCAGTTTCTTGAGCAGCTCTATAATTTCTTGGGAAAGGTTCTTCAGTGTTGGATCTAGTAAAACAAACACAAGTTACTTGATCTTTTCAGACTATGGGATGAAAACCCAGAACCCTGTAAAGATTACTGGTTCTTTAAAAAACAATTCTGTACCGATTCACTTTGTCCATCAGCCCTTGACAAGAGCAGAGCAAAAATGCTCTTCCCCAGCTTTCCCAGAGAACCACACAGGCTGCTTCACACATGCAAACCACAAGTAGTATTTCTGAGAAGCTAAAGCTTTTTTCTTAGAAAGATAATGGCATTGCAGAGCATATTTTTACAGGTGGCTTGCCATACAGCACGTCACACAGTAAGTTTTGTTGGAAACAGAAACGATCCCAGTGGAAAGCACCTTGCCAGCTCTACCTTTTTGTCCAGTTTTATGCAAGTGAAGTGGAAGCTTCCCCTTTGCTAGTCCTTGCGCAGGACACCACGTACCTTGCTCTGCATAGGTGCTGTTCAGCTCCCTGTACAGAGGGGTGAGGATTGTTGGAAGGAAGGGCTTGATTCTGTCCTTCCCAAGATCCACCGAGATTGCTCCCAAGAACTTAAAGACGCAAATTCTCTGAAAAGGAGCACACGGGACAATGAGGGAAGGAGGCAGGGAAGACGCGGAGCTGGTGGCTAGCGGAGCGCTACGCGGCACTGTGCGAACGCGCAGCGAGTTGTTTCACACGCACTGGTCAGGAACCCGCCGCGTTCACAAGGTCTTCCTGCTGCCAGGCACGGCCTGCTGCGAGACACAACCCCACGGGATCTGCCAGCGTCGGCGCTGGGGCTTCACCAGGGTGATGGCAGCTGTTAACACCTCGAGGAACAGACTTGTTCTTTCCTCTGCAGAGGCAGCGGAGGACGCTGGAGCTCGGCCTCTAGCAGCAGCACAAGGAGCTGTTTCTTAGCACTTGCTAGACCCAGCTCCAGCACCAGCCCCCAACACCCTCTGCAGCTCCCCTGAGAGCAGAGTCAGAGCAACCCTCTCCTGCACAAGCGCCTCCACCATCATATTCCTCCGGCCTAACCCTGCTCTTACCTTTAAGGGCACCTTAGGGGAATACGCTGCCTCCCGCTTGGCCATGATGGAGAGTTTCTTCATGACCCACAGCAATGTGGCTGGCCGGCCTCTCTCTTCTGTGTCCTCTCCTCCTCCCTCCTCTTGAGCAGAAGGGTCTCCCTCACCCTCATCTTCAGAGGCCTCCTGCTCTTCCACGTCACAGTTGAGCTCCCCTTCAGCCTCTTCACCCTCTTCTGAGGCAGGGGCTAGCAAGTAGATAACTTTGGCCACAAAAATCAAGTTCTTTATAACCTAAAGTGCAAGAGCAGAGCAGTCAGTCACTGTTTCCCAGGGCCCAGCAGGGCACGCAAGAGCCCAGGCTGGATCCGAAAGAGGCACTGGCCAGCCCAGGAGGGTGTAACGTGTTTGGCCACGCACTGTCTCTCCATGGTGGGAATCTCCATCCAGGCTGGCGCTGCCAGCCCCGGCTCCCAGAACAGCCACAACCCCGGAGTGGATGCAGGGAGGCACCCCGGATCTGCTTCCCTTCCTGCTCCAGCTGGGGCTGCGCGGCGACAGACTCTCCCTCACGGAGGGCCAGACAAAAGGACCCCAGCCCTGCACGATGCTGCCCCTTCCTGCCCTTGCCCCCGCTCAGCTCCTCTCACACACTCACACTGTGAGGGGGCTTTGCTGGCCCTGCACTGCTCAGACCCCTCAGCACAGAGCGGCCGGCCCTGCACTGTAGCCAGCTCTGACCTGTCCCCAGACAGGGACTCAGCTGGCCAGACGCCAACGTGACCCCCCTTCACGGCCTGCCCTACACCCCCACAGAGCCCCAGACCCACTCCTGCTCTCACCTGCTCGCCCAGAGACTGGTCCAGGAACTTGGACTGCAGCTGATGGCAGAAGGCAAACACGAGCTCCTTCATCTGGGGAGACAAAAGGGCAGAGGGAATTTTTATATGAGAGGGAGCAAGGAGGAGAAATCCAAAGGGGTGTTTGCAAAACCAAAGTGACTGAAGTGATCCCAGGGTTCAGGCTCAGCACAGCTTCTGCCTGCATCTCACAGCCCCACAAAAAGTCTTTCTACTACTAAGACTGCAGAGAAATCCCCTCCCAGCAACAGGGACATCCTCTCAAATGCTTTAAATGATCAGAATTAGGCAGCAAATAGAACCAGCTAAGAAAGAAATGAGCATGCCAAGCTACTCAAGTGTTCTCACGCCCAAGCCCTTGAACAGCTAATAGGCAGGTGGAAAGGAGTAAAAGTCACCACTACCTTACTGTCCAGCTCAGCTGTCAAGAAGAACGTGGATATAGGCAGCTCTGCCAACGCTTTCTTCCTCTTCCCTGCCTTTCCTTCTCTCCACTTGCTGACAAGATCTTCTGGCTTGTGAGATGCAAACAACAAACCAAAAATCTGAGTGGCTGTCAGCCAGACCCAGCTGTGAGGATACCGCAGGTGAGACTGAACATGACCTGCACAAAGAAAACCTGTTTCAGCAATGGAGCCAGCCCAGCAAGAGGGAAAAATGAAAAAATAAAATAAAGAGCTGGGTCCCTCCAAGAGTCACCAGAGCATCTGCTGCAACCTAATGTCCCCGCCATGATCAGACATCCTGGAATGCTACTACAGCACTTCCATACTGGAAAGGAAAAGGTTGCTGTGAGTGAGACAAGCGTGCTCTGTGCAGGAGCATACTGAAAATGAGGCAAATTTTAAACATTACAACTGAATGCCAATGATCCAGACGGGCACAGCGGCACCTCACCCACAGGGACACGGCTGGAATCAAACGGCCCCAGCTCCCTCAGGGCATTCCCAGCACGACTACCCCGGGCCACTGTTTGCTGGCTGGCCTGTCTAATCTCATCAGGAAAACATCATCATTCTAGAACAGCTGAAAGCTTTAATCTAAGCTGATGTAATTATGGTCAAACAAAAGAGTTTGCTCTTGGGATTATGGAAAATGCTTCCCAGCAACTGGGATAGAGGACATATTGTTTTCATCAACTCTGTAACCTTCTCCATTAATATCTGCTCTTTTTGCTGCCCAGTAACTGCTGTGTATGAGTGCTTATACAGCACGCCAACCTTGTATGACCACGTTCAGGAGTTTGTATTGGGGTGCAAACAACCACACAGCACGTTGAGAATCCTCCCTCTAACACAGCCATAGCGACTCTGCATCCTTACCCCAGATGCTGTTCACAACATCTCTGTTCTTGGTTAACTGAATCAAGCCGCACTCTGTGATCAGCTTTGTTAGCAGCACGAGAAAGCTGAACAGCAGCTTGTCCGCAGCCTTCTCCTCCTCCTCTTCAGTTATCTGAGAAAACCAGCACGTTGAGAGAGAGGCTTATGAGGAACTGAACGTTTATTAAGTTCACGCGTGCACACGTACTGGCGCACATGTGTGTGTCACTCTCAGAGGTGCCTGCGCCTCGCTGGGTTTCACTCAGCTGCCTTCAGGTGCTGGGAGGGAGCAGGGACCCGCGCGGGCTGCGCGCGCTGCCCCGCTCAGTGCCTGCCCCGCACAGCAGCGGCCAGCCCGGCGCAGCGAGGGGCCCCTCGGAGACCATCCCAGGCTGAGCAGAACCCGAGGCAGCCGAGGTGCTACTGGGAGGTCAGGGAGGGCCCCTCTCTGAAGGCGAAGGCTGCAGGTCACGCTGGGGAAGGCAGGCCCAGGGGCCGCGCTCCTGCCCTCCTGGCTCAGCCCGCTCTGCGTGCTGCCAGTGCACGGGTCGGGCTGCTTTCCAGCTAAACAGACCAGAACGCAGCCCAGGGCTGCACACGCGTCCTGCTGCTCTATTATGGTGGTTTTGCTTCACTCCGCTTTTATTTAAATAAAAAGCAAAAGTTGCTTCTCTGCTACTGCAGCGGGAAAGACCACATAACCAGAAGACGCTACCCAGACACACATATTGCTACAACCTGCCAACCCACTAAGTCACACAGGAAAAATACCCAAACCCACAGATTTGAGGGTGTCTCCCAAGCGCCTTACGCCCACGGCTGCTCAGTGGGGACGCTGGGGCCTGCGGCAGAAAGCACCAACATCCCTTCAGGATAAATGCAAGTGCTTTGTGTCTTCCCTTAGCCCCAACAGTTTAATCCCTCCTATGCTTATTCTTCCAATTTCTTATTTTTCTTTCCCTGAGTCTCACTCACCGCTATACAACTTACGTTTTCGAATTTAACAGGGTCGATCTCTTTTTCAACCAGGGCGAGCACAGCCTGGAGCCGCCTCTCAAACATCACCCCCTCCACTTCCACGAAGAGGCCGCAGGCCTGGGCGGCCAGCCGTCGGTGGGAGCTCTGCCGGGAGAGAACGAAGCCCTCGTTACCTCCTCCTGACAGCCAAGTCTTGCAGCTCACACGTGCAGGAGCCCTGACCTTGTCTGCAGCAACAGCATCCTACAAGGGGCTGGTTTTCGGGGCAGGTTGTAAAGGAGATGTGGTCAGCGAGGGACACAACCCCTGGTAGCGCAGGGCATTCATGGAAACACCCTGCACTGACCGCGCGCTGCTCAGTGCTCCGCAACATGGCGGGCAGCCCATGGGCAGCTGTGAGCCAGGCCGTGACATGTGAGAGATGAAAAGGATCAAGTGTTGGAAACTGCCTCCTCCACTGCTGCAGAGGAAGGGATCCTGAGGCCTAGGTGAAAATAACCACACATCCAGGCACCTGGATCACGACTGGAACCTGTCAGGCTTCAGCTTTGCTGCTTTCTGGCAACAGAATGAAGCAAGGCCGAGGTAAAAGCAGCACAGGCTGCCAGTTACTGGAATCAGACATACTTGAAGGAGTTTGCTCAAATATTTCACCTGAACAAAGACTAACCTTGTGAAATGCCTGGCCCAAAAAGGAAACTGCAACAAAGCCCTGCAATGCAGCTGGAAAGTCTGAAGGCTGCAGCAACGGTTCCCTACATCTGTGTAGCTGTATGTAGCTCCCTCCTCTTCTTGCCAGCAGCGGCAGGTGCCCTTGCCATGGTACCTGTGATACTGTGGTGGTGAACACGGCTCTAATGAGCCTATTCTGGGCTGACTTTTGTCTGCACTCCTTTCCTAACACATCAGGCATAACTGCACCCATCGATCGGCCAGCCCGCAATCTTACTCAATCTTCCAGTAGAGTCTAGAGTCAGTCAATAAGAAAACAACAAATTTACCTTCTTGCTGTGAAACCACTGTGTGACCAGTGAAAACATCAGATCTTGCTTCTCGATGCTTATCTTACTGAGCAAGGATTTACATGCCAAAGCTGCCATCTTTTTGCACTTGGCAGAGTCATCATTCACCATCATCATACAAAGAGAGAGGAAAAACAGCCCGCAGTATTTGTGGAGGAGCTCCTAGAAGGAAACAAGCATTAGCCAGGCTGTCAGTCAGCTGCACACCTCCGAAGAGCAGGGTATTCCCTGCACAGCTACACGAATGCTGCCAGCCCCAGGGGCAGAGCACACCAAGGCAGCTGAGCAGAGAGGAGATGATCCCGTTGTTGGAGCACGCGGGGAGGACAGGGCAGCACCATCCCTGTTCTGACTCAGATTTGCTAAAATGGCTCTGGAACAACAACTAGTCTCAAACCTTAAAGGGCTCAGCTCTGGCTGAACCAGGCAGAGGTTCCTAAGCACGGTGGCAGTGGGGCTCAAAGGCCCTTCTGTAAGGCAAGAACTGCAGCACTTTCCTCCTTCACAGTGGCTGGGAACCAAGTGGAGACCCTTAAGCTAATGGGTGCGAGGGCATGTCCCACTGCCTGGGCCCAGTGTTTCTCCCTCCCTCCCAAATTCTTCCTTGATTGCTCTTCTCTCAGTCCCCTGTGCACTCAGTCAAGCTCCAGGTGCAGAGCTCAGAGTCAGCACAGCATTTTGTGTTAGCCTACACAGATGCACAGTCGATTTTTTAGCTCTAATTTTCTTCCATTCCACTGAAAAGTCCCTGCTTTCCAGACAGGCCAACAAAACAGATTTGATACATCACATACCAGCTCAGTCAGCAAAATCCCTTTCGGATGTTAAGTTCACAATGGAAAAACTCTCAATTTCCCTCTCTTTTCACATCCAACTTCCATAAGCGGTTGTGTTTCTTCCCAGCATAAATCACCATAAAGTTTATCCAAATACCTGCTGACAGAGCTCTGTTTTACTTGCAGACAGAGCACGTTAGGTAATGAAGTACTGCAGACTCTCCAGTCTCGCATTACTGTTTTGGAGCTCAGCCAAGTTCTCCGAGATAAGTGATCGTTCATATTATCTCCTATCTCTTATGATAATATCGCCCTCCAACCTCAACAATTCTGTGATATGAGCTACCAAGTGCTCCCAATAAAACCTGCTCTGAAACGGTTGTTACTGCAACCCCCAGTAAAGAACTGACTGCTCCGTGGGGTGCTCGTTACCTGTGGGAACGTGTCAAAGAGGTAGGTGATCATCTCCAGCGCCGACTCCCTTCCGGTTTCATACTCATACCTGAGAAGAAATAATTAACATTGCACCTGGGTTAATTCCATGAAAGTTGTGATTTACCAGTGCCAGTAACAGACACTTCCAGGCACCCTTCCCCAGCAGCCACCAGGCACCTGCTCTGGCATTTGGGAGAAGGGAAGCGACGGGCCCACCAGCCATCCAACTTCTCAGCTCCAACCCGAGCCCACCCAGCAGCCCAATGCGTCAGGACACGTGTCAACGAGTGCCCCCGAGCAGGGGACAGTGTCAGCCAGTGCCCTGGAGCAGGGACACGGGGCAGGTGGCCCTGGGCACGCTGCCGGCTGTATTTACTAAGCCTCTGAAAGAAAAGCAGTTCGCTTTTAGAGCCAGGAAAATCAAGACTTCCGCCACAGGAACAGCCCTTTGCCACACCAAGAGGCCACTGAAGTCACATTTAAGCAATAAAGCTCCGTTCTGACAGAAATGGGGAGGATAAAAACTCACTCCAGTTGTGCGAGCATGAACTCCAAATTAGGCTTCAGCTTGTCACCAAGGGGATAATCAAGAATATATTTTAAGTAAATCTGGAAAAAAACATAGAGAGGAGTTACCAGAGACACTATCAAAAAAGCTTACACAAAAGATATGAGGAAAATATGGTGATGGAGCAGCAAGTTTAGGAGAGAAGCTCCTTCTTCCTATATGTGCAAATTCCTATTGCAGAAGGAGCCAACTGATCTCAATGCCTGGAGCAGGACCTGCAGGCACCTGACATACAAAAGATATGAGGCGAATATGATGATGGAGCAGCAGGTTTAGGAGAGAAGCTCCTTCCTCTACATGTGCAAATTCCTATTGCAGAAGGAGTGAACTGATCTCAATGGCTGGAGCAGGACCTGCAGGCACCTGACATCTGCCAGATCAGTCTCCAGAGTTACCATGACTTGACCAGGCTTCTGTTAACAGAAATTCATCAGCATCCTTCAAAATCAATCTCCAATTATGGAAACGCAGCACTTAGTTAAGCACAGCCCCTGCTGCACCCATATTTCAGTGTCTGAAATGAGGCAACCAATGTTCTCTTTTGGGAATTTTTAGCTTAGAAGGGGGAAAGAAGTAATGGGCAGCAACCATGGATCATGGCAAATTCTCTTCTGCCTGCACATAAATAAGGGCAAGACCTTGGCTGCACTGGCCAAAGGCTTCCAAGGCCGGGAGAGCATCAGTGCTGCCCAGGAGCTCTCTGAGGCCGGGCAAGCAGCCCGCGCTTGCTCCACTCTGCCACAGGAACGAGCCGGGCAGCTAACACGGATTAGCTAACAGGGGAAACGGGGTGCAGACCCCGCAGCACTAAGACAGCTCCCAGCGAGCTGGAACAGCCACTTTGAGCTCTCTGTCCTCTTAGACTGCTGTAAATAAAGCAAGACGAGACACTTATGCCACCAACCTGCCTGCACTGGACCCGCACGGGCTCGCTCTGGCCCGTGATGGCCAGCTGGGCAACCTTGTGCAGCACATCATCCATCTCAGGAACAATCAGCTTCCTGGACAGAATAGCCTAAAAAACAGGAAAGCACAGCTGGGGTCACTCCACTTTGGCTGTACAGTACAAGGTGCAATATTATAACCCACAACTACACTTTTCCCAGGTAGTATATTATTTTTTTTTCCCACATCTTCAAACACAGTCAGAAAGACTTAAAAAATGGCTTTAGAAGGTGATCCATTTCTTTGGAACATACAGAGCCAAAAGTAAGGGATGTGGATTCTTTAGCAAAAATATCCTCAGATCCAAATGCATCCTCAAAGGCACTAGATATGTACAAAATCACCACTCAAACAATATAAATCAGCTAAACAGTAAAAATTTGTCTTTTTTTTCTCCTGTAATAGAGTGTCTTTAAGAACATTGTGTGACCTGTCTCTCACACAAGATCTTGCAGGCTGCTATGAAGAGGCAGCATTGCTCTCATTTCCACGGTTCACAAACCTGCTACAGTGCTGTACAGAAATACCTTGAGAAGGCCAAAGGCAGTAGCTTGGCGTGATGAATCATAAATGTCTTCTTCAGCAAAGCCAAGCAACACTTGGAGCTGCTTGTCTGTTATGTGGCTCTTGGCATTTTTCACAAGTATTGTTACCGACTGCAAAATCAAATTGTACATGGTCAACGCACAGGTGGTGCCATAAAATGCAAGCCCACACAAAGCCCAACTCTGTTTCTAGCACTTTGATTTGAAAGAACAGATTACTGCTGTGAAACATGCACCCAACATTATTTTCCCCATTTTTCTTTCAGCTGACAATTTTAAGACAAAAACTGAACACAAGCAAAATCTTATGAATTCAGAATAGGTCACTGAAATGAGTGGGGATGTTCATAAGCAGGAATTCAGCCAGACCAAGAGGAAAATTCTGCTTGCACTGGAATTCAGCATTATTTACTCTACCCTTCCCTTATAATCATGAAGTTGTAATTAATTCAACAGAGAGCTTAGAAGACATCTACAGGGACACACTTCAAAGAGTAAAAATTATTACTGCTATGAACTGTCCTCCTCCCTTCAGCTTGCAAGGGTTTATTTCAATGAATTATGATAAGAGCAAGCTACTCTAGTATAATACTAGAGTACCTCCCAAAAGAAAGGATAGCAACAAGATACTATGATAGAAGAAACAAAAAAGGCTCCTGCAAAACACTCCCTCAGCTCCAAACTCTGCATCTGTTCGGGTATCTTTCTTCAAATTTACACCTGGGAGAGCATCAGCAAGACCTTTTTTAGCTCCCTACCTTGGGGACCCTTCCTCCTTACTGCCTCTCCAGAGCCATCTGCATGAGAGATGTGTAGTTTCACAAGTCTCATTCCACAAAGTTAAACAAAAAATAGAGCTGAGCAGAGTCAGGTCTGACTTACTTTGAAACAGTTCACAACGAGGTGGAAATTCTGGCCTTTGGCTATTCCTGTCTTGGCAAATTCTTTCAGCCGGAGGAAGAGCTGCTTGATCAGTGGCTCAAGATTTGTATTGATGGAAGGCAAAGGGAACTTTAAAACCCACACTAAGGACTGCAGAGCACCAGTTATCACCTGTGGAAAAAAGAGAAAAACAACAGCATGTGGGTGGAATGACACTGAAAGATCACCTTTCTCACTCCAGCTGCTACGGACAGGGCCAGGCTATCTGCAACTGTGGTAAAAGGGAAATAGTCAACAAAAATCAGCTCTTGAAAACCATTCACAAGCAATACCAAGCTTGCAACCTCACTCCCTAAGTGGAGATTTAAGCCTTTGACTTTCCTAGGGCTTTTTCAGCAGCTGGTGGGAACTCTTTGGAAGCAGAGATGACCTCCAAGTTGTTCTGCCAGAAACCCGGGTCACCTGCAAGCTTTGCTCCAGGTATCTCCTGGTACAAGGTCTGCCTTCCATTCCTGGGAAACTCCATGGTCAACATATTCCCTCCTAGATTCACTCGAATTGCTGCCCAGGAAAGAAGCTGACTCAACTGCTGGAGATAAAGACAGTACAAATGGATGAAAGATCCAATGTCTGTGACAAAACTGTTCCAAACAGCCACGGTCCCTCACAGCCGGATGGTCTGTGAGGTCTGTTCATGATGAAGTGCAGGAACACAGCTCAGGAGACCATCCAGGCCACATCTGAACCTGCAGCACTAGGAGCAGAGAGTCCTCCATCTGCACCAACCACTCCTCCCCCTTAGGATATCGAGTCTTCAAACAACTTGCTTATTTGCATGCCTAGGAAGTCAGCTTTGAAAACTGAAAAATTGTGAAATGACATTTATGGATGTGATTCTTCTTAGCAGAAGGGACAGGCTGCAGCTCCAAACTGTACCTTGACATCCATGGACTTCAAGCAGTCCATAAGCAGCTGGACAAAAGGATCTAACATTTCCAAAACATGCTCATCGGAGGAATTTATTTTGGATCTCTTCAGGCTCATGTGTAGCAACTGGCATAAAAAAGAAAAAAAGTAATAAAAAGACACATATAGGACAGTCACCTCAAAGTCAGGCTGTGACTCAAAAGAGTCAAGTAAAGTCAAACATTTATTCAGGTTGTAGTAGAATTTATGCTGTATTCCATTAAAATAACCTGTAACACAGTAAGCACCTTTTACAGTTCTGTGAGAGGCATCACTGCAGTTACCACATGCAAAATAAAGCTAGGTCAAAGTGGCGCGTTTAATAAAATATATGACCAATGCAATACGTCTTCCTTTGGACTTTTTAAATTTTGTTTTATTTCAAGGCATCCCCCTTGTGTGTGAGGAGATCCTTACCCGAAGTCCCGACTCCACCAAGACAGACGTGTTCGTCCTGCTGCTGACGGGCGCCCTGGGCCCTCCGCGGACGGGCGCGGGCTGGAGCAGCAGGCAGCTGGCTGGCTGCAGCCGAGGGTCGGGAGGAGGCACAGCTTTGCTTCTGAAAAACAGAGCAAAAACGAGGTTTCAGCCCTCTCCAGGACAAGCTTGCCATTGGGACTGCGGAGAGCTGGATTGTGTTCGGCGGCTGCCGCACAGCAAGCAAAGCCAGGTCACACACAGGGTGCAGGGAAACAAACTGGAGAGCAACATGACAGACGGGAGGCTCTGGGGCTTGGCACCAATGTCACTACGGTGCAGACCAACAAATACACAGCACATGGACATTTTTTTCTCCTCCATGAACTGGCAGAACCTTGGCAGTTCCTCCAAGAGGATGCACCACCCTTCCACATCTGTCTGCACTTACAGACACTTCATGTACAGATTGCTCCACACCAGCCATACATTTTTCCTGCCCCGGAACCCTGGCTGTTCCTAAGCCATGTTTGGCAAGTGCTTCTGGTATAGCCAAGGCAGTTAGAAAGCAGACCTCCCTCAGGAGAGGGCTGGTGGCCCACGGAGCTCAACATTCCTTGTTACCCTTTGCAACTCAAGGTAGAAGAGCTGCGTAGAAATCTCTGCTAAACGTTTGTCACTTAGGGCAGCAATAATTACTTTTTAAAACTGCTCCGAGACACCTGCAAACAGCTGTCAGATTATGGTGCAATCCTGCCAATGTGAAAGGGCACAGGAGACCCCTGAACTTGTCACTTGTGAGCAGTGACACCACCAAACACAGAGCAAACCTGACCGCGATTCCCCCGCACGTCCGTGCCAGCTCGGAAGCGTTTAGGGGGAGGCCGCACATTCCCAGTTCTTGACCCCATAAAAATGCAGGACCGTAAAGGCTTCTTACGTGCTCGTTTGTAGTTCCCTCCAGCGCATCCAGATGCTCACACTCCTTTCACCCAAACCCACAGAGCAGCTCAGCGGATGGTGGGAAGGCCTTACTGAAGGCCTCAAGCACTACCAGGACAGACTGCCACGGGTTCTGAAAATGATCACTTCCATTTCCAAGCTTTCTCCTTGCTCTATGGCTCTCCATATAATTTGCTCACATCAAAAACACAGGGCAAATAAAAGCAAGGAAGCCCTTACAGATTTATCGGCTGGATTTGAGAGCTGCCATTTTTGCAGGCGAGCCCCCAGGTGACAAGAGCTGCCCCGCTGGAGCCTGGCGCTCACCTGGCCTTCTCGGTGAGCAGGGGCAAGTTTTCGCTGATGAGACCGTGGCTGAGGAGGAGGAGAGACTCTGGGCTCATGTCTGTGTTGAGGATGAGCCCCGCCATGACGTGGCGCAGGGCCTCGTGCACCTTGCGCACCTTCTTCAGGCTGGCGGTGCCCTCCAGGAGCTGCAAAGGAAGCGCCACGAGCCCTGGTCACAACGAGGCAGGAGGGAAACCACCTGTCCTCCGCACTGAGGAGGCACAGGAAAAGCCAAACCAATTCCTCTGTCTTCACTTGCTGCCTTCACCGCCAAGCTCTCTACACAAAGAGCATCCCACAGCCTCAGCTCTACCCCAACATCCCTCCCTTTTCCCTCCAGGCTGTTCCCAGGCTCCTGTCCATTCTCCTTGCACAACCAGGATGTTCCAGGGCTTGTGGGCAAACAGTGCTCCACTTCTCCATGAGCACATTTCCCTCTGAAAGAACTGCATCTCTGCACATGGGCACAGCCTCAGTGCATTTTGGCAACTGCAACCAGGATGTTCCAGGGCTCGTGGGCAAACAGTGCTCCACTTCTCCACGAGCACATTTCCCTCTGAAACAACCACATCTCTGCACAAGGGCACAGCCTCAGTGCATTTTGGCAACACTTCTTTCATGTGCAAGGGATCAAGTCACAAAACAGCCAGCAGAACTTACACTGCCAGAATAAACAGCATTAATAAGAGTCACTGCTGAAGAAGGAGAATGAACTGAACAAACATAGTGAGATGTTTCCTTTCTAGCTTGCCAGAAAGCTTCCCAAAAGTGCACTCCTTCTCCTGGATGTCTATAGCAGGATCTCATTTTATAAACTGTCGCAGAGTGGCTTCCACAAGGCAAGTGAGTAGCCAGAGCTAGCGCAAGTAATGCCACCAGCGGGTCCAGGGTTTCTCCTAAACTACACACAGCTGGGAGTGCTTGGGGCTTAGGAAAGGCTGTAGCTGCCCTTTCCCTTTTCTTACCTCTTTCAGTGGCAGGATAAGTTTCGTCACCTGGCCTTTCCCTATGTACTTGCCGAGAATTTCATAGGATTCGTAGCTCTTGCTCTTCCGTGCTTCCATGACCTTGGAGACGATTCCCTTCACTTCCTTCTCTTCAGCTACGTCCCCAAACAGCTCCTGGTTGAAAATCTTTGCAAAGCAGCCAACAGAAGAAAATGAGGGGAGGGGAAAAAAAAATAGAATCAGATTCAAGCAGTAACAGCAGAACCAGGCTATTTTTCTCTACTAAAAGGAAAAACAAAACAGCAACAAAAACAAAAAAACAAGAAAACCCCTTAATTCCCTGGGTCCCCACAAACCCCAAGTACCTTTCCTCTGTCAATACAAAGCACCCTCAACTAGTGGGAGAAGCTCTTCTCACACTCCTCTGGTGTTGTGACAAACAGTAAGAGTCAGACCAAGGTATTTGGACATGGCCCCTTTCCGGACTGCTGAGCTCCTGGGTCCTGTGCTCTGCCCTGACTACATCTCTGCTGGCTACTGCTCAGCCACTCAAAGCATGTGGCAAAAGGGGTGCACGTCTCAGGGCACAGTCTCTGTTCCTCTACAAGGGGAAGGCTATGCCACATCAAAAACAGTCTCTCTCCTCTGCAGGAAATGCAGAATCAGCCCTGTTTGCCACTGAGTATGAGGCAATCTACAGACAGCCCTTTGCTCATCCCACTGTTCCCCAAACACTTCATGATGCTCTTTCCTTCATTCTGGAATAGTTGTTACCTCAACCAGGATATCTAAGCAGGGATCCAAATCACCAGCACTGAGCTTGCTTGTAAGGCCCTTCAGCAACAGGTTCACAGTGAAAGTCAGCACATGGAGCTAGAGAAAAGGAAAAAAGGAATGTTTTCAGTCTCCCACCATGACTGCTGCTGTACCTGGACGGAGAGGGGACTGACAGAAGAGGCATCACAGCTCATATACCGCGCTTGAACTTTTGCTGTAGAAAAAAAAAAACTACTGGGAGAATGGGAATCCAAGGGTGGGTAGCAGGAAGAGGAGCCCTGTCCGTCCTAGCAGAAGGGCTAAAAATTTGTCTTTTCCCATTACTCTTACTGCTACTTTCAGGCTGTGCTAACCAGTGTTTTCACTGTTCCAGTAACTAGAAACTCATGCTCTCCCCAACATAATACACATGGGAAGAGGAGCCCTGTCCCTCCTAGCAAAAGGGCTAAAAATCCCTTTTTTTCCCATTACTCTTCCTGTTATTTTCAGGCTGTGCTAACCAGTGTTCTCACTGTTCCAGTAACTAGAAGCTCATGCTCTCCCCAACATAATACACATAGGAAAGTATTCTTATCACAGCCACTGTGGAAAGCGGGAAGATGAATTAATAGTCAGGGCCTTGGCTCTGCATTCAGGAAGCAAGGCTGCCATTAGCATCCTCACCACATGCTCTTTGTGCAGTCTCTGGCAAGTCATCCCTGAAGATGTTTGAACCTGCCAAAGTTCCTGGAAAGATTCCCACCAATTTTAATGACACCAGGAATTCATCATGCACCCCTGGACTTCAGCTCTTCACTGGGACATTGAGATCCTTTCTTCTTCTTTCCTGCTTAGACTAAAAGTTCTTTATGGAGGGTTCCTCAGTTAACATAAGTTTATTTATTATTTAGCCTATCAAAGAACGATACAGGCTCCAACATATAATAATACAACAAGATGCAGTTGTTGCATTATACCACGCACTGCAGTACAAAATAATGTTGGTAATAAATCTCCTTTTGGATTCTCCTTTTAACACTTACAAAGGTCTACAAATGACAGAAGAGAAAAGAGACGGACAGCTTAATTCACCCCCAAACAGCAGAATTAATTACACTGTTAGCTAGAAAGGCTGCATTGCAGGGCTATTTTGCAAGCAAAACTATGTTCCAGGCCAGCCTGCAGATAGGCTTTACTGTCATACACAGACCCACCCTCCTCCAAAACATTGTACAGACTCTCTTTTTGAACTGTGGTCTTTTCATCCAGCCACCTCTACACCTGCACCCTACTTTACCACTCTGCTCTTATTTAAGGATTGGCCAAATTCCTTTCAAATTCAGCTTTATAAAAGTTAATTGCAGACAGTGGGATATTTCACTAGGGAAAATCAGTTCCTAAAAACACGTGTTTAAGGTCAGTTAGAATGCTAGAACAGCTCGAGAAAGAAGCCTGCACGGATGCCCAGCACAGCGAGGGGCTCTCGGGTTGCTCATCTGGACTTCACCTTGGCAGGTTGGCTTCCATCACTTCTTGGGGAAGGCACTGCATCACCCTGACCATGGCAAATGCTAAAGGCACACGAACCACCTCATCGTCGTTCACAACGTTGGATTTCACAAGCTTGTGTTCCTCGTCTCTTTTAACCTTTACAAAACACAGCAAGACACAATGCACATTTCACATATGAAAGTAGAATGAACACAGTTTAAGCAAACCCTGTGTTTCCTCAACAAACCCCAAGAAGAGGCTGGCTTGGCAAGTCAACTCTGCTTTTGAAGACTTGAGGATGAGGACAGAGCACGACTGCTTTTTACCAAGTACCACTGTGTATTTGTCTAACGTGCTACATTTCACAGAGGGACGTTCACACTGTGCTCTCAGAAGTGGTTCATGGCAGCATTCAGCTAAAATTTATAAACATTGTTTATAATTAACCAGAGATCTTCTCAAAATGTGACTTAACTGCAGTGGGTAGACTTGACTGGCAAATTAAAAGGCAAATTAACTGCAGCCTGTGAGCTCCCTCTGTGCACTCCCAGGCAGAGAACAAGGTGGGGGGTGGGGGGTAACAAAGAAAGGAGAAGATAGATTGGGAGTGCCATGGAAAAGTTAGAGGCCTTCCAAAAGGATATTTTAATATTAAACATTACAACGATGACTTCTGTAACCCTTAAAATGTTTGGCTACATCTCATATTTAAACAGCCATACAGCTTGTTTCACGAAGGTCAGGTGGTCTTAAAGTA